TAGCGTCACGCGTTGGGCTTGCACTTTTATGTAATTCCGCATCGAGACGCGGAAGCAAAATTTGAAATCTATATCGACGGGCTGTGGTCTACACAAATACAATATTCTACTGTACAAGCCCAGGTTTTATGTCCCCTGTGGAGTATAACCGGCGTTCATACTTTCATGAATGACGCGAAGTAGTTGTCAATCGCGATAACACCATCCAAAGGTGCGATCGTGCCCACATATCCGTCTGGACGAACTACGACAATAGCGCCTTCTTCACGAATGCCGTAGTACGTGTACCCTTTACCGCCCATGGCTCCCGTGGCATCGATGTCATCAATCAGCACTCTGACGTACACACCTCCGTCAACATCTGTGCGCTCGGGATTAGGCGGGGAACTTACTTCGACCAGTGCGGCCTCAGAAGTGGCGGGAATTTCAAGTAGTCAACCGTTTCCTTCTGTCCTTTACTGATGGTGATAATGTCAAACCTCGAGCTCGAAGTCTTGGTGGAGGCATATTTCGTCAAAAAGCTCTCTGGTCTTTGCAGGTCCTTCACCATGGACTCGACCCTGTCCTTCTGCGAAGCGTCGTTGAAATCACCAGTGAACACAAGCAATTTATAGCAGAAATCGGAAGGAATGAGATCCTGAAGTTCGAATGGCCATGCATCGGCTGCTCGAAGAAATATCTGTGGTGGTACACGTTCACCGATGATGAGGTTGGTGGCCAGCGATTGGTGTGCATTGGTTACAGCCACAGACGGACCATAATGCACCCCAATACCACTGGTAAACCCTCCAAAGGTTTGGAAAGCCCTGCCAGAACGAAGTCAGATGAGCCCAGATATCCCAGCCTCTCCCAGTCCACTCACTTGAGGAACTGGTCGTGGGAAACGCCATCGATGTTATCCGAGGTCAGGGGTTTTCCGGAGAAAAGAGTGGAGAAAGTCTTGTCAAAGGCAATGAGATCTTGTGCATATTTGCGACGTTCTGACTCGTACTAGGTAGGTGTTATTGTTGGCTGTTGCCAAGTGTTAACCCAGGCAGGACTCACAGTGGACAAAAGCGACATATCCGCCCAACCACGGAGGACCAACGCCAGCTTCCAAGCTACAATCGGTTTCAGAAGATATGTGAGAACGATAATCTTGCTTAGCTCACCAAGATTATGTGCGTCGTTCATGCTCGCGTTCATACCCTGTCCTGGATAAACGTTTGAGCCTTGACCAGAAGCGGATACATTGCGCGAGAGAATTCACCTGCTTTAGGCGAGTGCGTATGGCACGCGTCTCCTGCGATGAAAACACGATTCTTAACAGAGAACTTGGATGCAACGCGCTGTCCAACTAATCGGAGCTAAATTTACTGGAACATGGCCCGGCATAATGATGACCCACTGATATACAATGTCCACCAGTTGATGCCATCAGTAGGATGAAGCGAGTATGGACGTAGGGACTGCTGTGCGACCTGTACCACAATGTTAAGATCATACTTTCACACCACATTCTAAAAACAAACCTCCAGTAATTGCTTTGGTCCCATCTTGTCCTTGTCTATTCTACCGGTGTTTGGGTTCAGCACGTCCTTGTCAGCAAGTTGCATATAGATCCGAATTCTGTCAGCTTCACGGGGGACCACCAAACATGAACCGTTGTTGGAATGGATGAGACTCTTGTTCCGAACGTCGGGGAAATCACTGTCGGGAACCATGTCCAAGACTCCCCAAATGAATTCTAGACATATGGCATCAGACCCATAGCAATATTAAATAAATGTGAGAATATGTAGAGTATATTCTCACCGGTTTGTTCGCCATCCATAGTGATATCAAAGGACTTTCTGACCCACGAATGTGCCCCTGTGGGTGCACGTGAGTCTCGATCGCGTATGATGGATGTGGAGCGCCATACCATCAGCCCCAAGGACAAATTTGGCACGCACAATCTCCTCATGTGGCTCGCCATCAGGTTCCTCGAGGCGTTCAAGTGTCACCTGGAGGTCTTTCGTGAAGGGAGATGTATGATTGCGCAAGGAGCACTCACCTTGACCGGGTGCGAGGTGGGATTTGCGAGCTCCGCCTCATCGGAGGACAACTCTATTGCAATGGGCGTGGTCGATCGTTCGACTTCAACGCCGAGGGCTTTCATAGAGTCCAGAAATATCGACTCGATCGCTCCTTGATGCAATGCAAGCTAATGGCTTATCGTGAGGACTTGCATATTTCACAAGCACGAAGCACGACATACTTCGAAGGGATAACGAGCAGACGGAGCTGTCACATCGGGTGCGCGACTTGAGAGCTGAGTGAAGCAGAATGGGACATGGTCAAATCGAAGGCGTCGAAGCTCTTACCTGAATGCCGCCATCTGGACCAGGATCATAGAACGCCTGGGTAACAATAATCAGTAGTATTAGTAGTGCGTCTAGTCCCAAGGAAACTGGTAACTTACCGCCATATGGACTTGACAGCCTTCCCGCATAAGACGTTCGCCGATACCATAACTCTGCGATGCCATAATATTATGAGGCGCCAGCTAACTTGGACGACATAATACTTACCTGGAAGACCTCGATCGTTCTGGGTGAAATTCCATCAGCCTGGCCGGCGGCGACTTTAGCAGCCCTGCTCGGTCCATCAGCGAAATTGTGCAAACCATATGGTAGGAGCACACACCGTTTGTCCACAATTCTTACGTTTACCCTGGCATTGGCAAGAGCGTTGGCGCACATGAGCCCAGCAGGCCCAGCACCAATGATGAGAACATCGACTTCAGACTGAAGAGAGGGAGACATGAGAAAACGCCGGGATGAGAGCAGTTTTAGTGGGAAAGCCCGGGCCCCCTTTATAGTACAAGCCCCACGGATAAACGAGCTAGGGCCAACTCAGCGAGGGGATACGAGGTGGCATTCTACCGAGGCACCGTGGATCACTATCATTGGTGTAAAAGGCAGTAGTAACTGTGATTGTCCTCCTGGCCCGCAAATGAACAGAAAAATATATCTTACCCCAGATATTGCCCTTCCCATTTCCAGCCTATCTTTTTCTGGACCCCTATCTCCAAAACCTGGAGGGCCATGAGCAAATCGTGAGTATCGGAGGACGTTCTTTTGAGGCCATGGCTGAAATCGATAAGCGCTAAGCTCAGGATGGTATTCCGTTCCCTCGCGACCCCACCCTTACCGAGTTAAATGAACGTCGTAGCCACACATTACCGTATGTAATGCTTTGCTGTTCGGCGACTTGAGGAACGCTTCTCTCAGTGATAGAACAGTTGGTCATTTGCTTTCCACGGTGATGACTCAGCGCTCAGCCCCGTGGAACCGTGGTTAAAACTTGCACGTTAAAGTCCAGGGGGAGAGACCCATCGAGCCGGGAGTCAAATTGTCCATCAGATAACAGCCTGAGTGTACGCATGACTGGAAGCTGAGAGTGTAGCGAGAATATCCACTGAACCGGTATACATAATGGAGAGTGTCCGTGAGAGCCCCATAACTTCAAGGAGAATCTGTCGACCCTGTGATGGGGGTGGGTGCACTAGCAATCTGATTATCATCAGATTGCAGCATGCCCAGGCTCTTTTTGTATTGCGCGATCGGGTCAGATCGTGAGTTGCGGCCGCGAAGGTGGAATAGACACCGAATCTGGCAAGTGATTCTGGCCATTCATGGCGATGCACCGCAAGTATACAATTCCTTATATATCCAGCTCGACGTTTGCTACCTCGAAAAGCTTATCGCACCAGTGTGAACAATAGTCCGTAAATGCGCAATTCTTCCGTAGGTCGACATTCGTTTTCGTAGCAACATAATGATAATTTAGAGTGCAAACTAGCGCATGGTGCAGCAATTCAGGTATCAGTACGACAACATCGATGAAAATATGGTGTGATGACAAAAGTGAATGGTATCCTGATTGCATAACGGGGGTGAAATCAGGACGGCCACGAATGTGATATTGAAAAGCTTACCGCATTCTGCGCCAGGAGCTTCAAACCTCTCCATAGAACACACACTGGGAATACTCGTCCTTTTCAATGCCTTCTTTCGTGAGCAACATATCCCGAACCTGAGAACAATTTTATTTTAGTAAAATGAGAAGAAGAATAAGTATCAGGGTCCACTTGCCTCTACGGGGGGATTAAGCCCAAAAGCTTCGGCTCTCTCCCATCGCTCCAGTCTTGTCATCCCAACACATGGACCAAACTCGTAAGACCTGGCATTACCGTGAGCACGAAAACCCTCATCTTTCTGAATAAAACTCACATGTCGAAGAAGCGAAGCATCTGGTGTATCATATTCTGACCACCTGAATGAACTAGAACGAAATCACCTGTCTATTCCGCAGCATTTCCGGCGAGTGCGCATATGTATGCTTACCAGGTTCCATGCCTCCCATCTTTTCCCGGACTTCTTTGTAATACCTGCGGTAGCGACCGGCCTTGTCTACCACATCCAGACTCTTTCTCTCTACTTCCGCTGGAGCTGAGGTACTCTCAGACCTGGATATCAGAGATTTCTTCGTAGTACTGGAAGACAGTTGTGCCTTCGTGCTGGCGCGGGTTCGCTTGGTTGGAAGGGTTGTTTCAACGGCAGGAGTGTCCTCCTCCCCAGAGGATATCTCATGTACGATTTCGGTGCGAACAGGCCTTTCTGTGGGATTTATCTTCTCTTTTTCTGCGGCAGAAGATGACCGCGTGATGGCAGCCGTTTTCTTCGTTCTAACAGCAGAATTGGTTCGTTTTGCACTTGCGAACGAGAGGGTCCCCTGCGTCATATTGGGCGTGCTGGAAGGAGTTTTATTTGATGAGGAGGAGGACCTAGAGGATGGCATGGATAGCAAATATACAGGTTAATCAGCACGGGAGGGTGTTGGATCTACAGTAAGTTCTTAGTTGAAAAGCAGGGTCAATAACGACTTGAACAGGGGAAGTGGGACACAGCCATAAGCGCTTAAGCAATGATTAATGACTAATGAGTCATGTTAGGTGACAGGATCAAATGATCGGCGGCCGACTAGCTCAGTTGGTTAGAGCGTCGTGCTAATAGCTGGAACAACTTGCCGAACGCAAGTTGTTGCAGCCACGCGAAGGTCTTGGGTTCGATCCCCACGTTGGCCAAAATTTTTTTTTTCCATCTTGTCTGAAAGACTAGACCTAGGAGTACTAACCTGCTTAACATTCAATGTCATTCCCCTTGTCTTCCTTTGTATTGAAGGGCTGCTACGTAACTACCTCACTGCGAGTCTCAGTGTAGTGCAATGTACATAGGTTTAATGTTCGAAGAGCTCATTTGAAGAACTCCAGTAGGGATAAATCAAAGACATGTATCCAACATCAAGAAGGAAAAGCCGCTGTGCGTTTGAGTAAACTCAAAAGCCGAAGTCGTGTGTGTGCCCTCGCCCCCCACTACTGTGGAAGTGGAACCCTCCGCCTCCTCCGAACGGACCACCACCAGCAAATCCCCCGCCTTGGAACTGTGCAAAGATGTCTGCTAAATCGGTTGGCTGCATACCACCGCCGAAGCCACCCATCCCAGAGTCATTCTGCCCGTCTTCGTCTTCTCCCATGTCGTACCGCTCGCGTCGCTGAGGATCTGAGAGCACGACGTGGGCTTCGACGACGAGTTTGAATTTCTCCTCGTCTCCACCCTAGGCGCATAGGACGGGAAGTGAGTGCACGGAACTGTCGGCAGTCCGCTAAGGCACATACCTTGTCTGGATGGTGCTTGAGACTCTCCCTGCGATAGCCCTTCTTGATGTCAGCTTCCGAACAGCCCCTCGGGACACCTTGACGTGCCTATCAGGAAAGCATTGCCTGAAAGATTGATAGCAAAAACGAACCAAGAATTTTATAATAGTCCTTAGTCTTACTCCTCTTGAGAGCAGCCTCGGCTTTCTTGAGCTCGATCCTGAGGGACCTGACGTCCCCATCGGCGTTTTCGAACTCGGCTTGTTGTATAGAAGACTTGAAGTCTGTTACTGCAGCATCAAACTTTTCAAGGTGGAGATTGATACGTGCGCGGGTACGGAGGGCTTTGAACGACGTTGGAGTGAGAGAGAGGGAGGCCTCCGTGTCTGACAAAGCGTTGTCGTATTGCTCAAGCTGTAGAGACTATAAGAAACACGAAAGATAGCATCCGAGGTTCAGTACCTTCACTAGACTGGTAGCGCGGTTTGATAGAAGTGTGGCCCGTAGCTGGCCACCTTTACCCTCATCTTCTGCCTCGCCTATGCGCTATCCGACACGAAAAATCAGCACGACGACCAAGACAATCGTGATGGTACATACGTCTAGACATTCCGTATATAGTGTAATCGCCTCTTGCAGTTTACCGCTCTTGAATGCTGTGTTACCCTCTTCCTTTAGGCGCTCAACATCCTTGATTCGCTTTCGCAGTCGCGAGGCAGATTCGTGTTCTGGGTCTAATCGGAGTGCCGACGTAACGTGTTGAAGCGCTTGCGGTAGCTTCCCACTGACGAATAGAACCAACCCACGCAATGCGAGAACCTCGGGTGAGTTGGGGTCAAGCCTCAGAGCGTCGCTACAGGGAAGGAAACGAAGTGACCAGTTAGCATAAAAGAAGCCTCTGGCCCTGCCGTTCTGCATTGTCACTTACTTTGCAGCGGTATTGGCGGCGTCACAGTTACCACGAGCGAGCTCTAACTCTATTCTCCACAAGCGCCATTGCGTCGGCACCTCACCACCCTCACCTTCAATGCTCTGTAAGCACTTATCTAAGGCGAGCCGGGCCATTCCCCACTCTTTTCTACGTCTGGCACCATCAAAATTACGTAAATGTGCTTCAAGCTCGAGGACCTTCTCTTGCAGCTGCAACGCAGTAGTATTCATTGGCTCAAGAGTGACCACACTACGTAGAGTGGTCAGCGCAGGCTCCGAATATCCGAGGGCGAGCTGACATCGCGCGAGACGGATAAGGGTCTTTGACGAAGGTTCGGCTGACTGCAAGGCGGCAGCCTGCTGACAATCAGACAGAGCGAGTCGGAAGCGTTTCACGGCCATATAAGATGCAGCTCGGTTCGCGAGATACGAGGGTTCCGCTGGTTTCATCTCTGCGGTGAGAACATGTCAACGATTACGCGACGAGGAGACATGCTGTAGATAGTGCACACCTATAGCCTTGGTATATAGGTCGATCGCATCGTTGTACCGCTTTGCCTTGAAAGCGATATTACCCTTCTCTTTTATTTCGTCTGCTGACGGCTCTGCTGGGGTTTGTCTGATTGAGCGGGGGAAGGTGGGGAGATCGGACTTGTAGCAACGGAAGCAGCGGGTATCGACTGGTTCTCCTGTGCTGGAGGCTTAGTCCTGGAGGCCGATTAGCACAGTTCATTGAATGAATGAGAAATGTAGATAGCGCACTTGATGCCATTTGCCTGGGATTGCTTCTTAGCTTGAGCCTTCTTTTTATTGGTCATTGCTAAGTTCTGAAAGGCGACACGGTAGAGCGCTTGGATAATGAGCACCAGTGGACGGATTAAACTGGTATAACAGGTAGATATTCGGTGTGGATATTCAGATTGTAAACCTCCAGGACAAGGCTACAAGGTGATGAGGCACTAGGAGCAGGCAATAGCCTCGTGGATTTAATGCCAGTGGCAGGAGAAATTCATCACAGCAAGGAGGTGTTACCAAAGCGGGAAGAGGGTCACGTGCTATTGGTGTAACCACTGGCCATGTACCATACATGTCCTCCCGCGTCCCACTTCCTTACCGCCCGCCACCACTGCGCTTCATTGCCAGTTCTTGCGAGTTGTACAATTGCCTGATTTCTTAACTTGTACATTTCGAGATACTACTTGGACGAGCATCATGGCCTCAACGAGCCCTCCTGCCAGCTTCCCAGACCTTAGGGAAGATGGGACTGCCAGGACAAGCAACAAAGGCTTACAATCACATTTGGATGGTCGGAGACGCTACGCGGGTGTTGGGTTTCCATCATCATCCTCATATATGCCAATTGCATCACCCCCAACCCCCGCGCCTTCTCCTGGTCCCTCCAACTACCCATACACCGATTCGCTTCAGCTTTCGCAACCCCAGTCAGCAACTTATGATCCTGCTAATTTGTCCAGAATCGAGTTCGCCAACCTATCAGCCCTTGGCCCTGCCTCCCGCAAGAGATATCTCGTATCCCTCCTTGATGACTGCACGCCTTCTGAACTTCTCTTCATCTCTCAAACTATCGCCCCCATGCTCCGGCGCGACTTCCTCACAGAACTCCCTCCTGAAATAGCCTTGCATATACTTTGCTTCATAGATGACCCCAAGACTCTCGCCAGAGCAAGCCAAGTCTCCAAGCGATGGCATGACCTAGTCCAAGATGAATGGCTTTGGAAAGCAATGTGTGAAACGTACCGCTTCAACCCTGGGATCGGCGGTGCTGAGGAGATTGACGTTGATGACGAGACCAACGAGGAGTCTTCGAACGAAACGGAGACATTCCCCCCGCATCCTATGGATCCAACTCTCCAATCGCTCACTGCCGAAGAAAGTATGAAGCGCCAGGAGCAGTCCCCCCTGTCCTCTTGGAGACGAAATTTTAGCGACAAATCGGGGAGCGATACTTTGCTGTCATACCGTAAACATTTCCAGCATTCATACATTATCAGTACGTCAGAACTCCCTTGTGACCAAACACTTTTTTGACGAACATCGGTTCCAGTGTCCAACATGCGAAGAGGAGGTACACTTCTCCGTTCGCACCGCATGCCCATCGCAACACCTGATGGTGGTGTTGTTACGTCCGTGGCACTGGACTCCGATCGGGTGATCGTCGGTTGCGCCAATTCAAAGGTCCATATCTACAGCGCCAACACAGGTGTTTTGTGTCGCACGCTCTTGGGACACGATCTAGGCGTATGGGCGGTACACCTTGTCAGTCGTGGTGGTTATTGGGATCCACCTGACAACTATATCGAGACACCCGACTGACGAGTTAGCGGGAACATCTCTCGATTTACCTTCCACGAGTGGTCATGTACCTGTCAAATACCGTCGCGCACTTGGGCTTGATATGCCTAAGAAGAGATGGCCAAGAGACAGCACAATGCTCCGAGAGCCCTGGAAAGCCAAGTGACTTGTGCTGCACTTCAGAAGGCTGGGGTCAGCCCAATCCGATTGTCGTCAGTGCCGGCTTGTGATAAAACTTTGCGTGTGTGGGATGTCAGTATCAGGGTACGAATTTTGCAACCTTCTTTCCCTTCTACTGCAGGCTCACTAGCAGCGCTAGTCATTGCATATACATTTTACGAGGCCACACATCGACTATTAGGTGTACCAGGGTCTTGCACAACCGTCCAATTGCAGTGACGGGTTCTCGTGATACCACAGTTCGGGTTTGGGACATCCAGAAAGGTAGAATGCTTCGGATTTTGGAAGGTCATTGGCGAAGCGTTCGATGCCTTGACGTCTGTGGCAATCGGGTCGTTAGCGGAAGTTACGACGCTACGTGCAGAGTGAGTCAATTGCTCGCGTCCCTGCATAGCTAATTTCTTACTGTGGATAGATATGGAACGTCGACACGGGGAAATGTCTGCATGTCCTTACCGGCCATGAGCAAGAAATTTACTCAGTCGCATTTGACGGTGTTCGTGTCGTTTCCGGAGGGATGGATACCACTGTTCGGGTGTGGGACGCTAACCTTGGGTAAGCTCACTCACCATATATTTTCCGTTTTCGGATTGAGTTCCATTCACAGGCAATGCATCGTCCTTTTACAAGGGCACACTGCCCTTGTGTGCCAACTCCAGCTCTGCCCTACAACTGGCCTTCTTGCCACTGGTGGCTCCGATGGGCGTGTCATCACATTCGATTTGCATAACTATACGCCCCTACAGCGTATCTCGGCCCATGACTCCTCCGTGACGTCCCTCCAATTTGATTCGAATTTCCTTATTACAGGCGGCAACGACGGGCGTGTGAGGATGTACGAAACACAGAGTGGAGCGTACGTGAGGGACCTGAGCGAGCGGTGCGAGAGCGTGTGGAAAGTGGCTTGCAAGGGAGGGACGTGTGCGGTCATGTGTAGGAGGTCAGGGAAGATGGTAATTGAGATTTGGACATTTAGGCCGAGGACGTTGGACTTTTGAGATGTAGGC